CAGTTAAATTTATACCATGTGAAGATGGGATTGAAAGTCGAATTACCCTCTACGGTCAGGGGATAATTCCATTCCATAAAACCTTCGACTTGACCTTTGACCTTAAAAGTTACCATCGATCCAGCCTAGCCTGCTTGAAACTGGTTTTAGCCAACAAAGATTGTAATATGTTGGTTGTTAACATTTCACTTTGGGTATTCCAGAAAAAATTACCCCTTGAAATGAAACGTTTTGTCCATAGGGGTAATGTTTTATTGAATACCCCTCATTACAGGTCAATGATTGATAATTATCAGTGATAAGTTATCACCTATGTATATAGTATTATACTACCCCATATAGACTACTCAGTTTACCAGTTAAAGTTGATACAGTGAGACTTAAAAAAATATATACACATGAAAAAATGTAAGGGTGTGCATTCTATATACGCATGCAATCTACGTCAATGGAGTAATTGCTATTCTTTTTTTACCTGCAATATGAATTTCTGTAAATACACAAGTGAAAGGAGACGCTGCCTGTGATATCGGTAAATATATCTTATAATGCATGTAAATTTTATAGCATTAATTTCCAGAATTTATAGTTTTAGGTGTAACTTTGAAATATTTTCGGTTAGTTTTTACCATGATTTACGATAATTAATTAAACAGTACAAATAAGATTTGTAAAAAAAAAGAGTTTCTGAGCCAATCCACCATTAACATTTAGCAGTATATTGGATATTTAACAATTATTCGCCGAAGGCGAAGTGATTGGCGGGGAATATTCACCGAGACGAAGTCGAGGTGAATATTCACCGTAATCACCGAGCCCGAGGCGAATAATTGTTTTAGTATAAATTTTTAATGAATAAAACAAAATATCCGAATATCAGTTCAATTAAATGTCAGAAATAAAACTGTTTTCGGCCTGTTCACTAATAGTAGAGCTGCTCCCATCGGTTCGTTTTCATAATCGATTAATCGTTGTCAACAATCGATTAATATCAATTAATCGTACTGAAAATTAGTTTAAATATATATATGACATCCCCATGGTGGTTTGTAAAGTTTTTACTAAATTTGTTGGGGTTGCATTATTCAGTATTAACGTTTTACATAAATCGACATTTAAAATACACGTTAATCTCAGTTATCTCGCGCTCTCACACTCCTCACAAGAGACATCGATTCAAGACCAAGACAAAGTTTTAATGTTTTATGACAGTCATGTTTAATAAAAAGTGTTCGTAATCCTATTCCAGTATTCCTTCAACAAAACAAGATTACTAACAATCAAATTTTCCAGTGAACAAAAACTAAAGAACGTAACAAATTGTCAAATGCAATTATGCAATATAAATACAATATACTGTAACACAGTGCATTAAAACGCGATGTCTACATATTGTTTTTGTTTAAAAATAGAATTGCGTCGACAACAGCTGGCTTAAGTGAGGCACGTTTCTTTGAGACGACCAGTCCAGCCTTGCTGAAAATCTCTTCGCTTGGCACGGACGTTGGCGGAGCCGCTAATACTCTGGCGGCAAGGTTCCGTATGAAAGGGTATCGCTTTTCGTTTTCTTTCCACCACATTAACGGATCTTCCGTCAAACCTATTGGTGCCTCGTTGCTCAGTTGCTGTACCTCTTTATCAATCTTTCGATTCTTTTCCGCTTGAGATTCTTCTTCACGTGTGGATTCCTCAAAGTCATTTGACGATTTTCCTTTACCAAGCAACTCTTCCATGGCTACCTCTGACTTGGATTTCTTCTTTGGCAGTGGAAAAACCTCTGGTTCGGATGCACTGGTAGCAGCGCCGCTGCTTGTAGGCAATGATGGCATGGCTTTCACGGTCTTTGACGCAAACTTCACTAACGCATGCCTCTTGTGTTCGCCCAGAAATGACAGGTCACAGAATCTGGGATCCATGAATGAAGCCAACAGATAAAATGGAACCGGTTCGCAAGTGTTTGTTTCCTCGTAGGTGACATCCAATTGGTCGAGAAAGAATCTTTCAGTCAAAGACTGGACGAGGGTATCCCTAAAATTCTGCCCTGGTGGAATTGTTAGCTCGCTGTCGTCTGAACATCATGGCAAAGGATTGATTCAGGATGTGTCTACCAGATGGAACTCCACATGTTACATGTTGGAGCGTCTGTCGCTGTTGCGTTGGCCAGTCGTTGCGGTGTTGTCTGATCAATCTCTGACCAAACCACAAGAAGCAAGGGTCCTAGATATGCCAGCCAAATCTTGGAAACTTGCCGAGGAAAGTTGTTCAACCAAACCGGTAATAGCAGGCAGGACAACTCCAGATGTTGTTTTGGACTGCGAGCTAAAAAGAACAGTAGCCAGCTCCACCTCCCTAAGAACTGGAATTATTTCCTCTGCAAGTTTCCAAGATTTGGCTGGCATATCTAGGACCCTTGCTTCTTGTGGTTTGGTCAGAGATTGATCAGACAACACCGCAACGACTGGCCAACGCAACAGCGACAGACGCTCCAACATGTAACATGTGGAGTTCCATCAGGTAGACACATCCTGAATCAATCCTTTGCCATGATGTTCAGACGACAGCATCTCTTTCACTTTAGTGCGAAGACCATTTGTTGCCAGACTGGACATTTTAAAATGCCCCACTAGCCTCCTGGCAGCAGCAACCATGTTTTCGAAAGGCTGGTCAACCCCCTTTTTCATCGCATCTCCAATCGACAAATTCAGACTATGTGCCGCACAGTCGATATTGAAGGCTATCGGTCTGTCTTTTGTGCCATTGATCATCTGGCCGGCAAGATTAACATTTGCAGCATTGTCGTGAATGCAGGCAAACACGCGATGTTCAAGGCCAAATTCTTTCATCGTGTTGTTCACCTCAGCGGCTAAATTCACCGCGGTATGACGATCAAGGCTTGCTCTTGTCGCAAGGACTTTGCACGTCATTTCCCATTCACGAAGGAAGTGCACTACACAAGAAAAAATAGATAAATTAATTCACAGAGCAAAACAGGTATAGATTGAAAGCTACAAAGCAGAAATTTGTGACTTACCGGTAATTGTGCAATAACTATCCTGCGCCATACTGGTCCAGCCGTCAGTAGTGATGGAGATGTCAGATTTCAATTTTTCTAGCTCGCTCTTCAGAGTTTGTATGCCTGCAGTGTGTCGAAGCATGACCAGTTGACGGATCGTTTCTCGTTTTGGGATTTGGTAGGTTGGCCATGCATGCGCAATGAGATTACGGAACCCAGTATCTTTTACAATGCTAAATGAACGCAAATCTTTAACACAGACGTTGGCAATATGCGCAGTGATCTCTTTTGCTTTGCCTCCTGATAGGTCAATCTTCTTTTGAAAGAAGCTTGTTACCGATGAACAGCCAGCGCTAGTTGATGCGGTTGGTTGGTAAACATTTGAATGGCGTCTAATAAGGTGTTCTCGAAGATTTGTTGTATTGCCATGTCGGCGAATTGTCGCGTCGCAGTGTTTGCATTTCGCTGATGTTTGATTCTCGGCAACAAAATGGTTCCAGACGTCGCTTCCTCTTCGAGACATGAAATAAAAACAAAAAACTGTGCGACAAAGCACAAGTTGAGTGTCTCTCAAAGACTCCAACTAACTAAACTCTTGTAAATATTTTCGCAGTACTGCTGGTGAATCTCGCACGTTAGTAGTGACTGACATTTGACTCACGATGTTTTGAAGCAACGCACGCAAGTTCCTTTGTTATTTGATCGCAATTTTGTCGCATTTTTTTAATCCGGAAAGAAAATTCTGGCATCACGCTGCGATATAAGCTTGTTATGGATGATCCGATTGTTGTTAAGCATAATCGATTTCGGAAAAATAATCGATTAATCGATTAATCGGGAGCAGCTCTAAATAGATGAAACACAGATATGTGGTTACCTTCACATGATCTCCGTGCATGAATCGTATATCAATTGACATTTTTTTGTTTGGAAGAGTTTCGGATTGCCAGATTTGTGAATGTTGAATACGCAGTCAACACTGACACCAAGACCAATACGTTTCGTGATATACTGTGGAGAAGCTGAAAGAACAATTTTTGCAATTTTTCCACCAGACAATTCCATAAACTGTGTGTTCAAAGATTTCTTGGTGCTTTTATTATTTTCTCTGGTATTTTTTATTAAAACAACTATGTCTATGTTCTGTTGGAGTACGCATTTTGAGGATACAGGTGAGCAAGAGAGCATAAAGGTGAGTATTTTAGTCCTTGTCACAATCGTAAGGTATTAGAGAAGAAAATATAGTACATATTTGGTAAATGTATATAGTACAGTACATTCTTGTTATTTGTGGCTAATAATATAATACTTTGTATCACTTGTCTAAAATTTGAGTTCTGAATATTACAGATTTATAATTTTATATCTTCCTCAAAAAAATAGAGATTGCGACTTAATGCCCAGGACTTTATGCTCTCTTGTAAACCGTTGCAGGTGGTTGTTTGTCCACAGAAAATAATTTGTACAGTATGTTCCAATTAGGGCATGTAGAGTTGTACTGTTTGAAACTCTAGACAACAAAGCCAAAGGGCAAAGTATTTATTGGATAGTTTTTTGACGAAACGTTTCTATGTAAGAAAGGTACTTACAGCCACTTGTAAGAAAGGTGTCTCCAAGCAGTCCGCTAAGGGACAGCAGTCCAAGGAGAAACGATCATAGGATAGAATTTGCGATTGTACCAGGGAATGTCACAAATATAGCTGAAAAGCTAGAATTGCTCCAAGTCTCTCTAGCTGTGGGGAGGAGGGACAAGGGAAAAAGTCTTCTGAAAAGTACCGTGTGCCTGAAAATTAATCTGGATCTGAAACAAAAACATGAGACTAACCTCAAATTACTTTATTGAAGAGCGATTTTAAGCTGTAGTTTTCAAGCGTAATACAGTTTACTGCTTTTTGTAGCGGCAAGATTGCGTCGATGAACTTTTATTCGACTGCTATGAGTCATTGTAGGGCTTTAGGTCGTTTTAAAAGCCTTAACAATTGTTGATGGTTGCACAGAACGTAAGGTGTAGTTTTACATAACACATATTAAGAATAATGAACATGATTGAGTGTGGTTGACAATCGGTTCAACTCTGAATAAAAGCCAATGCTCGAAGCAGCTCGTCTCGCCATTCTTGTGAACGGTATTTACCGAAGATCGTCATGGGTGTGGCGAACGTGCTACCCTCTCTTGTGAAAAAATGTTGACCGCCCTACATTTGAAATTCTACGCAATGAGATTTATTTATTTATGTTTATTTATTTATTTATTTAGTAACTTCCCCTTGTACACACTATCATAATATAACATAAATAACTAGAAAACATTAAGTTAATGAATAATTACGATAAACTCTAAAATGACTAAAACAGTACAGTTCCTACATACAGCACAACAGTTAGACTTCGGAATCTCGCAGATTTTAATTTGCATTGTATGTGAATTTGAGAAAGTGTTGTTTATTAAAAACGCGTGACCACCTCCTGCCAATGTTTTTCCTCCTCAAGGGAGAAGACCTTGGGCACGAGTTTCACTCTGGACAAATAGTTTTCTAACTATCTGTTATAAATAAAGTTAGTTTTGTTTGTAGTTGAGATTCATCCTTCTTCCAACACTGAGAGATAGATCAGATCTTATTTTTAGTACAGAACCTTTAATTACTTACCAAAATTATTTATTTCCACACCTTGTCAAAAATGCAAGGTGATCCTTAGTTAGAGTATTGCCCCCTAATGATGAACATATTTTTTAGGAGACTAGATGGCGATTATTTATTTGTATATTACATATGATATTACAAAATTCTTGATGCAGATTCCACTTTAGTTACCGTTATCCCAAGATTTTTAAATGATATATTCTTTCATTCCATTACCAAGTGTTGCTATATTGTGAGATGAAATAGGTTGTTCAATGCTCAGTTTTTCCATCCAGAGAAAAGGGCGGGGAAGTTCAGTGCTAATTTCACCCTTTAGGTGACTTTGCGTCCTACTTTGTTATTCGAATCTTTCTACCTATGTATTGTGTTAGCCCTTTAGGTGGCATTGCACACCACTGCGTGTTACTCCAGGGTGTTAGCCAGAATATTAAAAATTCGGCAATTTAATGAAATAGGGAATTTCAGTTCGCTTGTTAAGGAATATCGTATTTCTTAAGTAACGTTCTCGTGGCCTAGTGCCAGATAAGCTAAATTGAAACTTTTGAAGGGCAAGTCGCCTGACATTGTACTAAAAACAGGCAAATATATATTTTAGGCTACATGACATCCTCGCAACACTTATCTGGTACCCAATTTTTCTTCTTTTTTTTTTCTTTTTTTCTTTTTTTTTTTTTTTCCCAATTTTTTTTTTTTTTTTTTTTTTTCTTGTTTTGAAAGTTGAACAATCTTTTATTTATTACATAAAAGTTATGTTTTTGGCTGATCTAACTATCTGCCAAACCCGAACCGACTTGACCTCGTATCACCAACTCGAACCGACTTGACCTCGTGGCTCAGTTGGCAGAGCATTTGACTAGTATCCCAAAGGTCGCGGGTTCGATTCCCACCGTGGCCAAGCAAACTTTTCAGATTGCCCGGTGTGGATGCACACTCAGAGTAACATCACAAACATCATATTCACCTGAGTACATAACACCAACACACAAAAAGTATCATGAATTGTGAAATTGCTGGCTAAACGTAATTGTGACAACGGCGTATAACGCCGAATTTTTTACTCTAGCTAACACCCTGTACTCTAATATTTTACCCTGTCAGACCGCCAGACGATTTTACTCGGAATCGTGCCAACACTCAATGCATTGACAATCATGCTAGCATTGAAGTATAATTGACATTAGTATTCTTCATTTCTTGCTTTTGTTACATGTGAATATTATCTAACATTACATTTCGTGTGTATTTTCTTTCCACCAACAGACCTATAGTCCCAATGGAGTACATGGGAAACATATATTTTACGTTAAAGAATTTAGTTATAAAAGCAGAAAGAAGAATTCTTAAGGTGATTTGAAGCATTTTGTGTACTGAGCACGTAAATAATGGCTGGCGAAAAATTCCCTTCCCATTCCCATTCAGTACCAGGGGGAGGGGAGGCATTTTGCCCCGGTCCCCAGCTCAGAAGGGCCAACCAAAGTCGCTAAATGTTCTTGATACAATACTGTTTAACCGAGAATATAAATCCAAGTTGCGTCATTGCCGGATAATATGCAATGAAGTGCAATGTATACGGCCAAAATCTTTACAAAAGGATACCATTCAGTTGCCACACATGTCTTTTACCGCTTCTGTGACACGAGTTTGATAACTGCTTGTGCAATTTTCTGCATTCTAACGGTTTATGTTGTCTGCACATCTACTTTCTTTGGAGACACCATTTGCCTTCTGACAAATCGGAAAATGATCAAGATAGTGACTCTGATTGATTGATTGATTGATTGATTGATTGATTGATTTACATATTGTATTGACATATATGACTGTTGACAGTTTAGTCTTCAATATTTGAGCGAGTCCCATTATTACACAACCCTTGAGTTTTTGTTTTTCATTTACCCAACCTTTTATTCACTATTGATTTTGTATACCCAACCCTTCCTCTTTGATGATCAAGCCAAATACAGTAGTTCACAATAGGCACTAAGTGCTCAATTTATTTTATTACAACACATTTAGGAACTTGGTTTCTGTGTTCATGTAAAACACCCTCACAAAGTGGTCATTACTTTTCTACAAGTTTTGGAAAGCGAGAAAAACCAACAATTAGCTCAGTTAGCTTGGTATGTTGAGATATTTTATACATTTCAATTTGGAAGTTTGAGACTTGACAGACTGCATTATAAATCTTTCATGCTATTGATTTTCATAATCTCTTTGTATATTGTTTCTAATTTATAGTTAAGGAAAATTAAGTTCTAATGTATATTTGTTTTCAAGAATTATAGTGAAAGGTGGACTTCACTACTAAACTACTTCACTACTAAACTAGTGTTACCAATGTTATGGGTTCATCACACGTATTAATACTTAAATGCATGATTTCAATGCCAATGGTCCATTGGGTGAACAAGAATTTATTTTAAAAACCGTCATAACCACAGATATCTTATATACACTAGGTAGCGCATCTCTTTTAGTAAAATTGAAGCCAAGAATATTCCAGCGGTTACCCCCATTTGAATAGATGGCTTAAAAAACAACAATAACTTTCATCATTTGAATAGTTTGAAAATGTATTTGGAATAGGTTTAACTTAATGTTTAAGTTCCCTGTTTATAAGAAATAGAAAACATACGAGTCTTCTCATTTCATGGGAATACCATGAGCCTGCAATCACGGCTTCAATTTTTGAATTGCAGAATAATTAGATGCACTATCTAGTTTATATAAGATATCTATGGTCATAACATTGGCTCTGCTAGACCAATTTTATTAATCTTATTGTCAATATTCATCTCTCGGATTAAATTTTTGATCACCTCTAATAATTAGCTGTGTCAAAACTAAAACATAGCTTTGCATTTTTATCCGGACAGCTTAGCCTGTGTATAAACTGTATTATGCTGTAATACAGTATGTGAAGATTTGTGGCATTGGTTGAGTTCAAAGGTCAACAATGTTCTGACTTACGAGTAACGTAAACAATTCACATCACGCTCAGGAATTGCCGTTATTTTCAAGTCCTTGTCGCATTTTATTTGTTCTGTTGTACATCAAGTGTCAAAGAATATTACCCAACGTTCGTTGGTCCAGCCAATCAGAATCTCATTAAGTTTCGGTCGTAACAAATCGAAATCAACTACCCAGATCTGGGTAGCGCTGCTGGGGGTCGACAAACAATGCCACGAATTTTCACAGACTGTATTACAACATAAAGGCCCATTTTCACTCAAGAAAATTTTCCATGCACGGACAGAAAATTTTCCGAAACTATCATTGTTAAAAGTTGAAAATTTTCGACTTCAAAATTTTTTTCCGACGGAAAATTTGTGTCGGCCAATCGCATTTTACAAAATTTTCTTTATACAGACTGTACACAGGCTAGGACACTCTGAATAATGGAAAAAGTCCGGATCAATTTTTGACCACCATACATTATTGTTTATGCTGCAATCCACCTATAGCTATATTATAATTTTCTCGTACATAGGAACTATATGAACGACGCATTAAGAACAAACGTTTTTGTTCGATACCAACCTGAAACCATCGCTTGTGCTTGTATATTCCTTTCTGCTCGACAGTTAAAGGTAATATGTTTGTTTCCAACACTAGATGCCTCGTATCTTTAATGTTGAAGGATTTTGCAGATGGGAATTAGGAGTGTAAATTTGATACATTTATTACTACCTAACTTGGAACAGGAAAATTCTTGATATTTACTCTTTAATTTAACACTATATGGAAAATAGACCAATACAATTAATGCCAGAAACTGCAGGTTTTTATGTTATTTCCTTTCTTTTTGAAGATTCCACTTCCGTCTCGTCCGCCGTGGTGGGAGTTATTCGATAGCAACATGGAGGACATTGAAGTAAGCTTAGCAGTTTTGTTGATATAAGTCTGAAAATAACGCACCGCAGTAAACACGTTAATTCTTAGTATAACTTAACTTTGTATCCCATCCCAGGAAAAATTTAGAACTGCAGCCCATTTCGACAAGAACAATGTCTATTCATTGTTTATAATAAAACATGATTTTCATATAGAACTGTAGAGGAATCTGTAGAGGACATTGAAGTTGGCTTAGTAGTTTTATTGATCGACCTATAATTGTTTATACACTGCAGTTATCAACATAATACATCTATTCATTGTTTACAATAAATTCGTAGCATTGTATACTGTAGAAGACATTGAAGTAAGCTTTGTAGTTTTATTGATCTATCTAAAAATAATCCACCGGAGCAAACAATATTCACAATAACTCTTTATGCACTACAGTTGTCAACATGCGTGGATTCATCTGTTCTTTGTGTCTCTTCGATAAACATCATGACTTTAAATGATCACATTTTTTTAGGAAGTGTGTATTACGTTACTAAAGTTATACCAAAGACCAAAGGTTAGCTATAATTAAAACGGAACAATTTTAATCCACACTGATTTTCTAGTATTACCGCCATAATCGTCATTAGTAACTCCACCATCATCATGGTCCCCATCTCTTTAATTATAGCAATAATCATCATTTTCATGACTATTCTTACAACAACCACTCCAATTACCATCACCCCACCCCACCCCACCAACGTCGGTGCGGTACCTCCCGTCCTCCCATCACATCCGCAATCATAGCACCAACTATTATATGGACTTGTTGCTACAACCACATGGCCACTCCCGCCACCATCATTAGTACTTCGAGTTTTATTGTATTATAATGATCTTCACCATGCAGTAATCGCGTCTTTTCCCCGCAGATTTCGCTACAAACTCTGAACAAAGCTGTCGATCAGTTGAAGAGAGCAAAGAAAATTACGGAATCATTAACGAATGCCGATGGTAGTGGAAGCAAAAAGAAGACTAGTGGCTCTAATTTCTCTCGCTCAGGTATAAAACAACAGAATAAACTTATTAAAATAATTCGAACTAGCAACTCATCAAAACCTGTCTCCTTCACAGGTTCACCGAATTCCAATCCATCTCCCGCCCAGGGCGAAAGCTCTAAAGCTCGTACTAGCGATGCCAAGAAAAATGGAAGCACAAAATCTGGAAGGTGAGTGTAGAAGGGTATTGAGGTATTCTACCTGGAAACATCTCAAAATGTGGTGTGTCGACATCAGGAAATTAGCCTGCGATAGAGTAGTGTCCTGACATACACAGTTGTTTGTACTGTTTAGCGGGTTGATACGATAGGTCAAGGAATATAATTCTTTAGTAATAATTCCCGTGGACTCCCAAGTCACATTTTCAGGCCAGGGTGCGATAAATCGCGCGCTTACAACCGGAGGTACGCCGGTATTCCTATCTGGTACTTCCATGTTTTCAACCATGCAGGTAGGTACGTGGGATTGTTGCTAACTGCGTAGTTGCTTTTTGCTGGTACCACATAACTACATGACCTTTCCAAGCCCAAGGTATTCAATACCGTAACTTAATTCTGTTAGTAGATCATGTGTCTGACATGCCTTAGCATGAAACATGATTGGACTGATGGGACTAAGAAATGTTGGGGTCGATTGTTTGTTTATGCAATTGTACTTTTTGCCTCGTACTCTGAATATACTTTTCAGAAACCTGTACTTTATGTACTGTATTTTAAAAACTTTAGGTCACATTCAGTATCGTGTTTATACTAGCGCAAGTACACGGCAATAATCATTGGCGTACCAGTCAGGTACGATTAAACATCTGGAATTATCAGACAGGGTCTTACATACGTAGTTAGGACTGTTCTGATAATGTTAACATCGAATGGAACAAACTAACCATGCACTAACCAAGCATTATCATATAGGAAGGACTGCACTGTAGTGTAGCTGATTCGGTATATTACATGTAAATTTATATTCTTTTCTGTAGTCAAGAATCGAAGACATCCAGCAAGAAATCTAGCAAAACGCAGCTCGCGCGAAAAGACAATAGTAAAGGTCAAAAAGCGGCAAAACGGCCGCGCAGTCCTGCAAGCGATAAATCCCACAGTGCTTCGGGTAGCGACACCGAAACTGACGTGAGCAGCGAAAGCAATTCTGATAGCGGTGACAGCGGTAGCTCGCACGAAGACAGCCGCAAGCGAAAATCCAAACTCGCACGACGACAAACTAACGACGGTCGGCGAGAGAAACGCGACGATGTACGACCGGTTAAAAAACTGCAAAAATCAAAAAGCGATACGAACGCTAACCGCAAACCGCGCGAAAGAAGCCGATCACCTCATCGCCGTAGTCGAAGTAAAAGCCGAGATCGACGGAATTCGAAACTCAAGGATAAGCATGTACGTCGAGTGGATAACCAGGACTCTAGGGGGAGAAATGGGGACTATAAGGTATCAGATAAGCGGGAACGAAGGGAAGCAAGGTAGTACATTTGGGGCTATTTGAGTGGTTGCTGTTTTATGTTGACCCAACTAATTTTGTGCAGTATCCGTTTCAAATTGTTATTTAGGTGCAGTTCTTTGTTTTGCTACAGAGCACCCTAACAGCCATGTCTCACTTTGGCGAATATTTAGGCCTACGAGTAGGTATTTCTCGTGGGCATTTTAACAATTTGTGCACTGGATAAGCTATAAAAAATTCCAGAATACAGAATACGTAATTTACATTCTAAATTAGGTCTAGTCTGTTATTCGAAATTACACCATAAAAGGATGTTTGTACGCCATTTATATTTGGTAAATACTTTAGAACGTTTAATCATAGAGATATGATACTATTTCTACATTCATACTTGAAATATATTTTGATGTCTTGGGAGTTAAATTTGCTATTTCTCTACATAATACATGTCAGAATTTATATTGTTCTTTTTAATTCTTTTGCATTCCATACTCGAAATATTTTTCTCGTTAAATTTCTTTTTTGTGTCCAGTAAATTCCTTCATTGCTTCATCCAGCTCAGTGAATCTCATTAACACATCCATCAGCTTCTGCGGCAGCAAACTAAATTAAAAGAGATACAAAACAGTTACAGTAGAGTGTAATTGTTCCAAATATAAGTTAAAAACTTGTTCCAATACACCTAAGCTAAAATAAAATTAAGTTGGAAAATAACAACGAAAAAAACGTACGGTTTCATGGCAAGTAATGCACCGAACCACGGAGGAAGAACAACGTATGTTTGATCTCTCTCAATGGCTTCAATTGTTTTCATTGCAATGTATTCGGGCTTCACCGTTGGTGGGAGCATTCCAAATCTGTAAGGGAACTCATTTGATGAACACTGTTGACAATAAGCAATAAAATATAAACAATGGAACAATACAATAAAACAATGGAACAATGCAATGGACCAATGGCAATACAATAGAACAATGGAACAATACAATGAAACAATACAGGGTGTATAAAGACCTTTAGAAATCAAGCATATTGTTAAAATTTGAATGCCTTTTCAATTGCACATATGCTGAACCGTGGTGCGTGAAATATTGATGGAGTGCATATACTGTACTGGGTGAGTAAAAAAAACTGACACCTTTGTTATTCAAATTAGCCGCGAAGGTACAGTTTTTTTTTACTCACCCTGTATTAGAAAAAGGAGACCTTTAGAAATCAACCATTGTTATAATTTGAATCCTGGAGCACTTTGCTAAGCCCACGAGTGCGTAACATGCGATCTACGTACAATATGCATGGCAGATTGTTCACAGGAGCAGACAATCTTTTGTTTAAACGTTATTTCAATTTCTAAAGGTCTCCTTTTTCTAATATATGCACCCCATCAATATTTCACGCACTACAGTTCAGCATATGTGCAATTGAAAAGGCATTCAAATTTTAACAATATGGTTGATTTCTAAAGGTCTCCTTTTTTTTTTATACACCCTGTAGAACAATACAATGAAACAATAGAGCAATGGGGAGCAATACAATGACATAATAAAACTATGGACTAATTACAATGGAATAGTACATGAAACAATGGAACAATACAATTGGAACAATTCAATGAAACGATAGAACAATGGCATAATACAATGAAGCGCTATAACAATACAATGTAACAATAGATAAGACAATAATAGAATTGGAATAATATGCACTAAAATGGAACAATAGACAATATAATAAATGAATACGATTGAACAATAAAACAGAGAAAACAACAATACAATAGAAACAACACCACTTCTCTACCTTCCTTTAGCACCTTCAAACAATCCAGTGTCAACTTTTGTTGGTAAAATTGTTGTAAAACCAACACCATATTTTTTCTGGTAGAGTATTTCTTGTCTCAGTGCTGCCATCATCATAGCTACACCCGCTTTGGAAGTGCAGTAGTCAACTAACCGAGGTCCACACAACACAGCTGTAATTGACGACAAAGCCACTATATGGCCGCGATCTCTTTCAACCATTCCACCCAAGAAGGCTTTTAATGTCTGTGGATGCGAAAATAGGACCCTTATATTGGTGATGGTGTGTAGTGGTCATGATAAAGATGATGATGGTCATATTAATGATAGTGATTGTGGTGATAATGTTGGTGGTAAATAATGTTAATGGTGACAATGTTAATGGTGATAATAGTGATGCCAATCATGATAATAGTGGTGATGATGGTGATTTTGAAGGTGAGTGGTGATGATGGTGATTTTGAGGGTGAGTGGTGATGATGGTTATTTTGAAGGTGAGTGGTGGTGGTGATGGTTATTTTGAAGGTGAGTGGTGATGGTGATTTTGAAGGTGAGTAGTGGTGACGATGGTAGTGATAATGGTAGTGGTGATGATGGTGTGTGGTGGTGATGGTGATAGTCATACTAATGATAGTGATCATGTTCATGGTAATAATGTTAATAGTGATGGCAATGATAATAGTGGTGGTGATTTTGAAGGTGATGCTGGTGGTTGTGATGACAGTGGTGGTGATGGTAGTGATGATGGTGTGTGATGACACTGATAGTGGTGGTAATTTTGATGGTGGTGGTGATGATGGTGGTGGTGGTGATGTGGTGGTGGTAAGGATTTGTGGTAGTGATAAGGATTTGTGGTAGTGATATGGTGATTTTGAAGGTGATAATAGTGGTGGTGATGATGATGGTGGTGTGAGGATGGGTGGTAGTGATGATTGGTGGTGGTGGTGACTGGTGAAAATAGTGATGGCAATGTTCATTTTGAAGGTGATGCTTATGATTGGTGATGATGATGGTAAAGATTATGATGGAGGTTTACATGCAATAAAAAAGAACAAATGCTTCCCATCACATACAAACTAACCCAGAAGTGTGCAATCAAGTTGACATTCATTATTTTCTCGATATCCTCATCAGAACAAGAAAGAAGGGTCTTTCCTATAACAACACCAGCATTATTGACCAGGATGTCAACATCACCAACATCGAGCTTTACTTTATTGGCGGTTTCATACACTTCATCTTTTTTGGTGACGTCACAAACATATGAGAATGCTTGACTACCAAGACCTGTGATTTCATCAGCGACCTTACTCAAATTTTCTTCATTGATGTCCCAGAGTACCACTTTGACCCCTTTGATGCAATTATTAAGGTACTAATTAGTAATTAACCCATTAACAAGTAAAGATGTATTTAATGAGTAGTGACATATTTGGAGTAATGCCCTATTTAACAAGTAACAAGACGCTCTATAGAGCGTTAACTCGCTGGGGCTATACAAACACGCACATTACCGTATATGATACATGCATGCATGCATGCCGTATACGGCATGTAGTAAAAGACTGACTACCGGAACACCACCATTTTGTTTGGGGTTTGGGGTTAGGGTTAGGGTTGGGGTTAGGGTTAGGTGGTGTTCCGGTGGTGTTCCGGCGGTGTTCCGGTAGTCAGTGTTTTACTACATGCCGCAGTATACACTTGTTTTAATTAAGATTTAAGGTTGTCCCGAGCTAAGCGGAAAAGTCGAATACGAGCGCGAAAGGGTTGAAGATTAAACTTTTCAGTTACAGTTTTAGTAGTTTTGTTCACTCTGTTT